ACAGAGAGAGAGACATCGATTTATTGTTCCACTTATTTATTTTATTTTAAAACAGTACATTATTTATTTTATTTAAAATATATCTTTATTGACTTCAGAGAAAGGAAGGGAGAGAGAGAGAGGGAGATAGAAACATCAATGATGAGAGAGTCATTGATCGGCTGCCTCCTGCACGCCCCCCACTGGGGATCAAGCTTGTAACCCGGGCATGTGCCCTGACTGGGAATTGAACTGAGATCTCCTGGATCCTAGGTCGATGCTCAACCTCTGAGCCACGCCCAGCCTGGCTGTTCCACTTATTTTTGTGCATTTATTGGTTGCTCCTTGAATGTGCCCTGACTGGNAGATCTCCTGGATCCTAGGTCGATGCTCAACCTCTGAGCCATGCCCAGCCTGGCTGTTCCGCTTATTTTTGTGCATTTATTGGTTGCTCCTTGAATGTGCCCTGACTGAGGATCGAACCCACGACCTAGGCGTATCAGGATGACGCTCTAACTGACTGAACTACTGGCCAGGTCTCACTCTCCTTTTAAAACATTTCCCTTGTCCTGCCAGAGGTCTGCATGGCATCCTGGTGGCCTCCAACTTGGTTTTGGTGCCCTGTGGTCCGTGAGTGAAGAACTGGAGAAAAATGGTATTTCCAGGAGGAGACCAGGCAGCTGGCGTTGGACCAGCAGGTGCCAAAGATGTTTTCAGGACAGAGCATTTCAAAGATGTCAGAGATCCCAGCTTCAAAACCGCCCAGCTGTGTCCTTGGGCCATTTGCTTACCCTCTCTGTTTCCCCATCTGTGGAATGGGGGTGTATATGAAGTGCCTTCATCATAGAATTGTTGAGAAGATTCAACATATCAATATATGTAAAGTACTTAAATGAACCCTGGCCCAAAATAAGCACCGGGAAAGTGCTCACCATTGTTGATTGCCCTTGTAGATGCCAGTTTCAGCCAGGACTCACAGAACAAAGACATCCCCTCTAGCACAGGGCCCAAAACAAGACGAGTGGTGGAAGGGCTGCTGCTCCGTTTAGATCTTTTTCAGGGGCTGTGAGTTACTGAGGGCCACTGAAAACTCAGGTTTCTCCAGGTTCATTCCTGTCTCCCTTGCAGCTCAACAGTGCCACCTGCCACATGCAAATTTTATACATGCTTCCGGATGCGAAAGGAAGCCACTGACATTAAGGGCAAGCAATATTAAAGAGAATAGCAACATTTATGGCAAATTCAAAGGTGAATTTCTTTAATATGTGTGCCTTTGATGAACAAAAACTCCACGAAAGATGTCAAGAAGACACTTGATCTGAGGACAGGGCTAGGCAGTCCCTGGAAATCACTGTAAGGGTAAGGAAATTAAACAACCAGATACAATTTTTTTAAATTTTTTTTTGGCCTGCAAATTTAGAGAAAAATCAAACTTGCTAGGCCCAGTCCTGGCAAGAAGAGTGTGTAAAGGGCTCCTTATGAATGGCTGGGGCTTCATTGACTATACAATCCCCCTGGAGAGTTACTTAAGCATCTGATTCCATTTCAGTTTTATTATGCCTAAGTTTAATTTTTGAACAAATAATACATTCTCATGGATCAAAATGCAAGGACTATGAAAAGGATATGCACTGAAAATGCTCCTTCCCACCCCTATGCCCCAGAAACCCAGCACCTCCCTACAGACAGCCAAGGTTCGGGGACTCTGGTGTATACATTCGGGGTATTTCTGTGAACAACACAATCTGCACATGTTCTTTCCATCCTTTCTTACATAAGGTAGAGCCTGTTGTAACTTGGTGCAGTGATTCTTTCCATCTTAGAGATTTTTTCCATACCATTTCATAAAGACTCTTCACTTTATTTCTTTTTATTTATTTGTTTATTTTTTTAACCACAGTTTACATTCCATACCATTCCGCACCCGTTCGGATGTACAGCAAAGTGGCTGGAAAACTATGTGCTCTAGTCCCCCTGCTGCCCCAGGCCCCACCTGGCCCCACACCGTTATCTCAACAGTATTGACAATGTTCCCCTTGCTGCGTTCCACATCCCTGTGCTATCCTGCAGCTACTAATTTGTCTGCTTAATCCCTTCACCTTTTCCAACCAGCCCCCAACCTCCCTCTCCTCTGACAGCTTTCAGTCTGTTCACTCTATGAGTCTGTTTTTATTTTGCTTGTTAGTTCATTTTGTTCATTACATTCAACTATAAGTGAAACCATATGGTATTTAACTCTCTCTGACTGGCTTATTTCACTTAGCATAATACCCTCTAGGTCCATTCATGCTGTTGCAAAAGGTAAGATCTCCTTTTTTTTTTTTTTAATGGCTGAGAACTACTCCACGGTGTAAATATATTACAGCTTTTTTACCCTTTCATCTACTGATGGGCATTTAGGTTGTTTCTAAATCTTGGCTATTGTAAATAATGCTGCAATGAACATAGGCGTTCATATATTTTTTTCAAATTAGTGTTCCTGGATTCTTTGGGTGTGCTCCCAGTAGTGGAATTGCTGGGTCATAAGGCAGCTCCATTTTTAATTTTTTAAGGACTCTCCACACTGTTTTCCATAGTGGCTGCACCAATCTGCATTCCCACCAGCAGCTGACTAGTTAGGTTTCCTCTTTCTTTTTTATGGCTGAATACTAGTCCATTGCATGGCATCATGGGTTGCATTGTACCCTCCCCAGAAGTTCACATGTTAAAGTCCAAACCCTGAGTAACTTATTTAAAAATAGGGTCATTGCAGACAATGACAATTAGCTAAGATGAGGTCAGACTTGGAGCAGGTTGGGCCCCTAATCCAGTATGACTGATTTCCTTATAAAAGGGGGGTCTTTGGACATAGGCACACAGAGAACGCTGTGTGAAGATGAAGAGAGAGATGAGGGTGATGCATCTGTAAGCCAAGCGATGCCAGAGATTGCCAGCAACCACCAGAAGCCGGGTGAGAGGCATGGGACACATTTTCTCTTAAAGCCCTCAGGAGGAACCAACCCTGCTGCCGCCTTGATCTTGGACTTCCAGCTTCCAGGGTGGTGAGACAACAAATTTGTTATTTAAGCCACTCAGTTTGTGGAACTTTGTTGTGGCAGTCTTGGCAAACTAATTCACATGAGTGTACAATAAATATTTAATCACTTACCTACTTTGGAATTTGGGCTTTTTGATAACCTTATACTTAAAAAATACTGCAGTGAATAACCTTTTTATGTGCCATTTCATGAGTGCAAGACTCTACTAGCATGGGGAATTGCTAGAGCAGAATTCCTGCAGCAAAGGGCTTGTGAGTGGTGAGCCGCGCTGTGGAGCAGGCCTGGAGGCTGGGGCCGTCTGCACTCCCTCCAGCAGGACAAGGGGGTTCTTCTGGTTTCACCACCACCTGTCATCAAGCTTTTAGATTTTTGCCATGCTAATAAGAGAAAAATGGTATCTCTGTGCAGTTGGGGTTTGAGTTTTTAAATTATGAGTCATTTGTATACTTTTCTGTGAACCCATTTATCTATTGTTGGTCTTTCTTACCAGTTTTTTGGAGGAGCTTTTTGTGTATCAGGGAAATTTACCCGTTGTGATATTAGATGCAAATATTTTTTCCCAGTTAGTCATTTGAATTTTTACTTTTCTTATGGTGGTTTTGTCACACAATAGTCTATTGTTATGTATTTGAATGATCACTCTTTACTTTGTTAGAGCAACAAAGAATAAAAAACCTTCCCCACTCCAATATAATCAAAGAAATCCCTTGTGTGTTTTTCTAATATGTTTGAGGAGGTGGTAGCAGCAGCAATGATGTTTAGTGTGGGCACATTTTATATTTAAGTCTTTCATACAGATGGAGTTTATCCTGGTGTAAGGGCAGAGGTTTGAATTCAAACTTATGTTTTTCTAATGCATCCCAGTTATCTCCACACCATTTCCCCCACACTGATCTTAAATGCCACCTTGGCAGATACTAAATATCCATTCCTATTTCGGTCCATTTTTAGATTTTATGTCTCAAAATTACACCAGCTTATTTATAAATATGCTATAACAGTGTTCCCCATCACTTGTATTTTTTTTCAGGCATTTTCTAGCTAGAAACAAACAAGATCCTATCCACTTTTCCACATGAACTTTAGAATTCATTGTGTGTTGCTAAAGAAGATTCTGTTGGTATTTTGTCACCAAAAAGGATTTATTCCGGAAGAAGAAGGGGTTGCAACCCAGTGCTTTCAGGCATGGCAAGCCACATTACACTGCCTGGGGTGCCAAAATGGAGAGGCACCCCATGAACAGAGCTCTATCAGCAGCACAGAGCTCCCCTGCGGAGTTCTGGCGCATGCTCTGGCCACTGTGTAGATCTCTATAGGCCCAAGTTCCTCCCATAGACCCCCCACACTGATTGTTTTCCTAAAGCTCCAGCTGGTCTTTATCAAGATCCTTATAGCAGCCGAGAGAAATGACATGGTTCTGATGCTGAGTCTTTTCATCCAGGCGAGTGATGCATCCAGCTATCTTTCCATCAATTTAGTTTGCCTTTTGTGACCCCAGGAGCATCACCTTTCTTCATATACGTCTTGACATGTCTTAATTCCAGGCATTTGGCCTTTTGCTCATTTGTTTCTATTGTAAATGTAATGTTTTCTTCTGGTATTCTAATTGTAGTGTACACATAAGAAAACTATTGATTTCTGTATGTTAATTTTGAAACCACACCCCTTACAGAATTCTCTGGTTTAGTCTAGTCTGTTTGTTTGTTGTTGTTTTTTACATAATGAAGTAATGCTATGCCATAGTGGAAGGGAGACATTTATTTTTAAAATTTGTGACCAAATTCAACAACTAAAAGTGGAGTTGGAATGAAGCCCCTTTGGGCATACATCATCAATCTGCACGTGAACCACCCCAAAGCAAGAGAAGCCCCAAGGCAGGAGCAAACTGAAGACATCATCGATGTTCCTACAGGCCTTCGAGAGCAGAGCTGAGAAATATAATTCCAGTCATGGATGGGATTTCTGATTTTCTGAAAGACACATTTAAAGTAAAAAGAAACAGGTGAAATTCGTCTTAACAATATGTTATTAACCCCCCAAAGCCAAAATATTATCAACGTAATCAACACAAAAATCAACATAATTTTTAACATTTTATATTCTTTTTTTTTTTTTTTTACTAAGTTTTAAAAATCCAAGGTGGATTTTACATTCACAGCATATCTCAGTTCAGCTTAACGCATTTCACATGCTTAACAGCCATAAGTGAGCAGTGACTGCCATACCAGACAGCACAAGCCTACATACTCCTGGTTTGTAGGTTTCCAGAAGAGGCAGGTGTTGAAAAAGGAGAGAGAGAGAGAGAGAGAGAGAGTGAGTGAGTGAGTGAGTGAGTGAGTGAGTGAGTGAGTCCCAGGATAGTAAGAAGCTATGGAAATTCCTTGACAAGTAGAATAAGGGAAACTGAGACAAAATAATTAAATAAGGCCAAACAATTTGAGCAATTTACAGCGAGCTAATGAATCACAAGGTTTTACCTTCCCTAACCAAGGGCACTTAGGAGCAAATGATTTACCCATTGCAGAACATCCCAGGTCAGACTGGCCTGGGTCCCGGTCGCTCTTCCATGACATTCTTTAAAAATAAAACTAACCAGAAAGTAACCCTAACCACTCTATACACCCATTTTAATGAATCAACACATTAAAGGACACACCTGGAAAGTTAATGAATATTCTGTTAAGACCCTCCCCTGAGGCCTCCCCTAAGATTCCCCAAGGCCAAAAAAATAAATAAAAAGCCTCAAGACAAAGCCTCAAGAACTTGTGGTGCTCTCGCTAGAGCATGCCCACTCCTAGTATCTCTGCTTTTTTCCTCTTTAAACTCTAAGGGTCCCCATTAGACTTGCAACCAGGGGAGCAGCGAGCTTACCCTCCTGAACCTGTCTCCAAGACCCCCTTTTCCTCTGACTTTCCAGTGAGCTAACAGCAGCCCCACCTGGACTCACTTCTTTCACTGTGACTTTCTCAGAGAGCCAAAGCAGCCCGCCTAGGCTCTCCCCTGTTGCTCCTACTTTAAGCCCTTCCTTTGTTTCACTGTCCCTAGCTTTAATAAACATACTCTCAAAATCACTTGGACTCATGTTTAGAAATCTTTCCTGCACAAAGTCAAGAACCCACACACTACCAGCTGGCCCAAGGCAGATCCACTCCAACCCCAGACCCCATCCAGTAACATGTAGACCCAAGAGCAAACAAAAGGTGCCTGGAGTATAACAAGGGTCATGAAGAAAAAGACATTTAAAATAAAAATTACCCAAATTAAGATTATTTACTTGGGCTTCCTAATGATCCCTCCCCCATTCACACACTACCTTTTATGGAGATGCAAAGCCTCCTAACTTGGACACAAATGTTTGTCCACTTTGCTGCAGAGAGGGAAAAACCCGGTCTTCTCCCTTCAGGGGTGGCAGACTGACCTAACACAGCAACCTTCAATCTGGAGTGAGAATTCTTCTGGAAGCCCATCAAGATTGACTGAAGCAGTTTGGGCTGTGCTGCTCAATAAGGCAGCCATTGTCACATGTGGCCATTTAAATTAAATGTAATTTAAAAATCAGGTGCTCAGCCACACCAGCCAATTCTCGAGTGCTCAGTAGCTACTGGCCCACACTTTTGTTATAGGGAGACAGACATAAGCAGAGCAAGGATGAAGGGCCAGGTACAGAAACTTACCAGGGTAGAAAGCCCTGGATGCCTAGCAAGGGGCAATACTGGGAAAATAAGAACCTTGCCCCCAGGGTAACCTTTCCTCCCCTAGCGTATTGTTGGTCATGCAGTTTGAACCCCCCTGACTTTTCATATTGCTAGACCCCACTCCCCCGGCCTTTTCCTCCCTAAAGATAACATCTAGGCCTCAGGCGCATTTCAGCTCCAGGACAAGAAAAGCAGCAAAACCAGACAAGTGACACTGTGGCTGCCTCAGAACCAGCTGCATTGACTCGTGACCCCCTGCCTTGGCACTGACCAATCAGTGAGACCAGGACCCTGAAAGAGCCCACCTGGAAAGCTGATGAATATCGATTGGGACCCTCCCCTGAGACCTCTGCTAAGGTTTCCACCTAGAGAGAGATAAATACGCTCAGCACGAAGGACCCAGTGTGCACTCCCCACCCAGGGGAGCACACCCACGCCATTCCCTTTCCCCTTCTTCCCTCTACGGGACCCCATGAGACTTGCAACCAGGGGAGCAACGGGCAGTGGCAGCTCGGCCGGGCTAACTCCCTGAACAGGAGTGTCCCTGGAGACACTCCAAAGCTTCCTTTTCTTTGACGTCTCAGTGAGCCAAAGCAGCCCTGTTACTTCTACGCCCTTCCCTGTTTCACTGTCTTAAGTATATTTTTGCTGCGGCCACTAAATTCTTACTTACTTTGCTACACGTTGTCTCTTGATTGAAATCTTTCCTTCAAGAGGACAAGATCTGAGGTCTGGTTGTCTTGCCAGTAACACTTTCTTGGAGGTGCAGGGAGTTCTGGTATGGAGCCAAATGGGGTGGAGGAGGCATTGCTACAAGAAATCCCGTTCAATTCCCTCTGTTTACCCAGCACCTGCATCTATAGAAAATGGAAAACTGGCATAGAGTTGATGCTGAATACTGGCTCACTCCGGCAATAAGTAAAATGCACCCAAGTAATTTGCATAACTTGAACTATTAAAAAGTCCATTGAATTAAAAGTTGAGCTTCCAAGAAATTTTTACTGACAGTAAAAATTTGAAGCTAAATGTTTATATGATTTTGCTAATAATCTAGAAAATGATTAACATCTGAAAGTGAGAAAAAATTGTAATTTCTTTACAGAGATGTGTGCTAGGGTGAACAATAAAACTTAAAGCATAAAATTATTTTATATTAGGATAAAACCCAGTGATACATGCAGAATGAAATTTTAGATTAGTGTAAAAATCCTGTGAGGGACATGAAATGAAACTATAGGTTCAAGGAAAAAAACTCCCAAAAGTTGTAAAATTTTTGACTATTAAGAGTGGATGGTCCTGCTGGTGTTGCTCAGTGGTTCATTGTTGACCCATGAACCTGGAGATCGGGGTTGGATTCCCTGTCAGGGCACATGCCCCGGTTTTGGGCTGGATCCTCAGTAGGGGGCATGAAGGAGGCACCTGACTGATGATTCTCTCTCATTGATGTTTCTCTGTCTCTGTCCCTTCCTCTCTCTGAAATTAATAAAAACTAAAAAAAAAAAAGTGGATGGTGTGCATTATTTACAGATAGCCAAGACAGGCAAACAACCTAAGTGTCCCTCATGGATGAATGGATAAAGAAGATGTGATTGACATACGCATAATAGAATATTACTCGGCCATATGAAAGAAGGAAAAACTGCCATTTGTGACAACGTGGGTGGACCCTGAGAACTTTAATTAAGCTAAGTGAAACAAGTCGGAGAATGACAAATACCCTATGATCTCACTTATAGGTGGAATCTTAAAAAAATCAAAAAACTCAGATACAGAGAACAGATTGGTGGCTGGCGGCTGTCCTGGGGATGGAACGCACAGCACTCCAGCAATCGTTCATAATACCGTATTGCGTATTTTTTTACGTTGCTAAGAGAACACGTCTTAAAAGTTCTCATCACAGGATGCCCTGGAAGGAATGATAAGCAGTTTCGTTTGTTCAGTGTCAGTATTAACAGTATGCGGGAAAGCGTTTAGATGTTAACTACAAAAGGAAGTTTCCAAAGGCGTTCTGCGCAAGGGTTCGGGAGCCGACAGCGGGGCGCACCGCGCGCAGCCGCAGCTCGGTGTGGTCCCGACGGCGGGCGCTCCGCGCGGCCTCCCC